GCTCACGCCTGTAATCCTAGCTACTCAGGAGGCTGAGATCTGAGGATCGCGGTTCAAAGCCAGCCCGGGCAGGAGAGACCGTGAGACTCCTATCTCCACCAGAAAACTGGAAGTGACACTGTAGCTCAAGTGACAGAGCACTTGAGCTGAAGAGCTGAGGGACAGCGCCCAGGCCCAGAGTTCAAGCCCCATGACTGACAAAAAAAAAAGTCTACCTGAAGCCGGGTGCCGGTGGCTTATGCCTGTCATTCTAGCTACTCAGGAGGCCAAGATCTGAAGATCTTGGTTCAAAGCCAGCCTAGGCAGGAAAAGTTTATGAGACTCTTATCTCCAATAAGCCACTAGAAAACTAGAAGTGGTGCGGTGGCTCAAGTGGTAGCGTGCTTGCCTTGAGCTGAAGAGCTGAGGGACAGCGCCCAGGCCCAGAGTTCAAGACCCACAACTGACAAAAAAAAAAAAAAGTCTACCTGGAATATTTTCTTTTCCTTATTTTTCTCAAATTATTGTTTAAATCAGGAGTTAGCAAACTTGAACTCTTGGCCTGAGCGCTGTCCCTCAGCTCTTCAGCTCAAGGCAGCTTGAGCTACAGCGCCACTTCTGGTTTTCTGGTGGTTTATTGGAGATAGGAGTCTCACGGACTTTCTTGCCTGGGCTGGCTTTGAACCGTGATCCTCAGATCTCAGCCTCCTGAGTAGCTAGGATGACAGGCATGAGCCACTGGCGCCCAGTCAAACTTTTTTTTTTGTAAAGGGCTATATAGTATTTTTCACTTTGTAAGCCATGTAGTCTCTGGCAAGTACTCAAGTCCATCATTGTAAAGCAAATTCAGCCACAGACAGTATGAAACCAAAAGGTCTGATGGTTTTCCAATAAAAATAAGCATTGGCCCATTGGCTAATGCTCAATTTGAACAACACACAATCTGATACCTAACCTGTACAATATAGTCCCACCACATACTTAGTTCTTATTATAGCAAACATTCACTGGGCAACTGTATCTAAATGTCTGTATTCTACACATTAACTTGTTTTTATCTGTTTTTGTCCTTTAGTTGCCATATAGACTATAAACAATTTTGGGCAAAAGATGTAGTCCTTTTTATACGTAGACCATAAAATGGTGTGACATAATAGAAACATAATTTCAGAGTTAACTCTTCATATTCCTTCTTTTTAAAAGGGAGAATGTAAAATTAAATGAGATAAACATACTTGGAATCCCAACAGAGCATCTAGGAAATAGCTGGTAATTAATAAATACAACTTACCCTTCAATAGCCCAAGTTTACTTCTGCCTGTAGCAAATTAAAATTTAATATCTGAATATTTTTTTTGTTCTTTTTTCTTTTTGCTTACGTGGTGCTGAGGAATCGAACCCAGGGCCTCAGGCATGCAAGGCAAGCGCTCTACCACTGAGCCACCTTCCCAGCCCCTAATATCTGAATATTAACAGATACCTTGTTCTGCCTCTAGATGAGACCTTGATGTCTTTTTGGGAGGACTCATCATCTGATTTCATGTCGTCTGATGATGGGGGTTCATGAAGGTTTTCGTCCTTCTCTTTGTTTTCAGTCTTGATTTCTGCTGGAATAACAGTTCCTGACTGACTTTGCAAGCCACCTAACAAAGAGGCAAAGGAACCATACAATACATGATGAGATTCCAACCAAGACAGTAACAAGCTTTCTAGTTGTTTCTGAGTTGTTACAGGGGTATGAAGGAATCTGAAGATGTGGAAAGTGCACCGTTAAGTACTGGAAAGCGCTGTTTGAAAAATTTTTATCATTTTTTTTTTTTAGTATCTGTAATTAAAAGAACAAGGCCAATCAGGACCGTCAGCCCAATGCTCACTTTTAGACACTATTTCACATGTAAGCATGATATGAGAAACTTGAGACATTTTAGAAACTAAATTTTAAGATGTTACCAAAGAAAATAAGCTTAACATCTTTTCAGGTAATGAAATGAAAGTGGTATTGTGGTTAAAAACAACTGGGAGAACATTATTACAGTGGTCAGTTTGCACCCGCAAGCTTTATTATAACAATGAACATAGTTTGCTTTTTATCAAAATTGTTTCTCAATTAAATTACAACATCTAAAATAATAGCTAGTGACAGAGTTCTTAGACACATCTCTGACACTGGGAACCATGCAGGCTTACTCATGACAGGAAATATTTAAGAAAGAGACAGGACAGAAGCAGGAACACAAAGAAGGATAAACAATAAACACGGGTTAACACGTGATTCTCACCACCAACAATGATCAACCACTGGCCTATGCATGTGGGCCAAATGGAACCTAAATACATGCCCTCCACTCATACAGCTGCTCCACTGCTGTGAGTGCCCTGTCCTAGGACGACTTTTGATTCACAGATAAGTCAGTCAAGCTGTGAGAAAGCTGACAATACAGTTACCTCTGTAATTTTCTTGTGTTTTATGGTTCAGGTCTGTGCTTGATGCAGAGACAGTACTAGACAGGACTGAGTGATTGCCATTGAGATTAACAGAATCTTCCCGATGAGTTCCAACCTGAAGTAAAGACAGAAAAGGTAGTCAAGAACTACCCTAATTCTTTGACTTTTTTTTACTTATTGAATTCTTGAGACTCAAATGATCCTTTTGCCTCAGCTTTCCAAACAGTGGGACTACAAAGGCACACCACTGGCACTCAATTTTGTACAAGTCTTAGAGGATTCAATAGATATCAAAGAATCATTTATCTGAATTTTCAAGTTTTTTCAGATGCCACTTTTCTGGCTTTTTAGTGAAAAATTTAAAATACTAGCAGTAATGCTGGTGAAGGAAAAACACCTCTTAAGATGTAACTCTCAGGGGCTGGGAAGGTGGCTCAGTGGTAGAGTGCTTGCCTTGCACGTGTAAGACCCTAGGTTTGACTCCTTAGCACCACAAAAGCAGAAAAAGCCAGGAGTGATGCTGTGGCTCAAGTGGTAGAGCACTAGCCTTGAGCTGAAGAGCTGAGGGACAGTGCCCAGACACCCCCCCCCAAAAAAAAACTTTCAAAATTTAAATCTGAAAAGTAGTTGTGAGAAGCCAAAAGGGCTATTAGAAATACAACATTCAAAAAGCCATAAAACCCTACCTAGAGATTCTACATAAATCTAAAAACCACCTTCATATACTTCCCTAAGTATATTAAATACAGACCACAAAATGCTGCTGCATTCCAAACAACAGGGCTCATCTAACATTGGCACCCTCCCCGTCATTTATCTTACTGTTAATTCCTCTGCCTCATCTCAAAAGTTTTAACTTAAAAGTTTTGCGTTGCCAGGCAACAAAATTGCCACATTGGGCTAGGAAGGTGGCTCAGTGGTAGAGTACTTGCCTTACATGCATGAGGCCCTGGGTTCGATTCCTCAGCACCACATAAGCAAAAAGAAAAAAGTCGGAAGTGGCGCTGTGGCTCAAGTGGTAGAGTGTTGGCCTTGAGCTGAAGAGCTGAGGGACAGCGCCCAGGCCCAGAGTTCAGGCCCCACTACTGGACCCCCCCCCAAAAAAAAAGAAAAAAGAAAAAAAATTGCCACATTTATTCTCAAGTTTTAATCGAAGTTAACACTTGCCACAGTTAACTGGAAATAGGAAAGAAAAGCAGGCAAACATCATCAACCACTTAGCTATTACAGTAAGGGTTGTTGGTTTTGTTTTTGTTAGTCCCAAGGCTTGAACTCAGTGTGTGGGAACTGTCCCTGAGCTCTTTTGCTCAAGTCTAACACTCTACCACTTGAGCCACAGTGCCACTTCTGGCCTTTTTTGTTTATGTGGTACTTAGGAATTGAACCCAGGGCTTCATGCATGCTAGGCAAGCACTCTACCACTAAGCAACATTCCCAGCCCCTGTTATTGCAGTATTTAAAAAAAACTGTGTTATATAGATGGAGCTTTTCATGATAGTAGAAATGTCATCTAAAAGATATAAAAGATTTAGACAGGTTTATTGACTAGAGTTATATATAAGAACCACTCTTATACAACATCTTTTGATCCCCCTCAAGTAATTAACATTGTATTTATCTTTTATGACTTTGGATTTTACCTTAAGAAGTATAAATATCCCTATGAAATTTATCCTTTTGTTTCCTATGAGCTCAACAAAAGGGACAAAAGCAAAGTTTTAGACAATGTAGGCCACTTGGCAATGGGTGTGATTAAAAATATTAGTTATTTCACTACATTTTCAAAGAAATATTCGTCTTTCATCCTTATTCTTATCTTGAACAAATCCTTTTAAAAGTCCATTTGATGAATGCCATAACTACTTAAAAAATTATCTGAGGATTAGTCATTGCTGAGAATTATTTGTGTCATTCCTCCCTGGGCTATTCAAGAACTGACTGTTCCCTTTTTTCTAAATCACTTAATTTTATCATGGCTTGGAATCATAAAATCTGAAAGCTTGGAGAGGAACACAAAAATGATGGCAGTTCACTCTTGATAGTTTCAGTCTTTTGATTTCCCTTTCCCTAGAAAAATCTTAAGAACTTAGCTTGACAACTGTTGAAGTAGAATGAAAAGTGTACTGATGAGAAAAATCAACTGTAAATGTTTCATAAAATCTTTTCTCACAAGCATACTGGTCATATTTCTTTTTTTTGGTTGGTCATGGGGCTTGAACTCTGGGCCTGGGCGCTGTCCCTAAGTTCTTCAGCTTAAGGCGAGCACTCTACCACTTGAGCCACAGTGCTACTACTGGTTTCCTGGTGGTTTATTGGAGATAAGTGTCTCACAGACTTTTCTGCCCAGTCTGGCTTTGAACTGCGATCCTCAAATCTCAGCCTCCTGTATAGCTAGGATTATAGGCATGAGCCACCAGTGCCTGCCTGGACATGTTTATTCTCTTTTTTTGGGTCCAGTTGTGGGGCCTGAACTCTGTCTCTATCCCTCAGCTCTTTAGCTCAAGGCTAGCGTTCTACCACTTGAGCCACAGTGCCACTTCCGGCTTTTTTCTTTTTGTTTATGTGGTGCTGAGCAATCGAACCCAGAGACTCCTGCATGCAAGGCTCTACCACTGAGCCACCTTCCCAGCCCCTGGACATGTTTATTCTTAAACAGTGTCTTTTTGCTGTGGACTACTCAATGATTTAAGAGGTCAGTTCAAAATCCCATTTATAAAAATAGATATGGAGCTGGGCGCCAGTAGCTCATGCCTGTAATCCTAGCTACTCAGGAGGCTGAGATCTGAGGATCAGACTTCAAAGCCAGCCAGGGCAGGAAAATCCGTGAGACTCTTATCTCCAATAAACCACTAGAAAACCAGAAGTGGTGCTGTGGCTCAAGTGGTAGAGGCTGTGGCTCAAGTGGTAGAGCGCTTGCCTTGAGCTGAACAGCGCAGGGACAGTGCCCAAGCCCAGAGTTTAAGCCCCAGGACCAACCAAAAAAAAAAAAAAAAAAGATATGGGATAAGCAAAGTATATAGCTGCAAATTCTTTGGAACATTAGAACTGAGGCCTATTGTAAAGATAAAATATCGCTACAACTATTTTAACTGGCTCAGGAAATCCTGAGTTTGTGTATATAACATGGTAGACTTTAAACTTCCCATGATCTTTGATAATAAGTTCTTAATCTATCATTTTGATTATCACACAGAGTAGATTAAAAGGAAATAAGCCTTTTAAAATGTAGTCATTTACTGTATATTATAAAACTCATTTTATAACTTTGTAAGACAATGCCACTGAACAGTAACAGACTGAATTTTCACTCCAGTGAAAACCCATCTGTAGAATTTGTTCAGTATGACTTTTTTATTTTCTGGAACTCAGTTTATAAAAATATTCCATCACCACGTTCTTGATGAAAGGCTTGGCAGACATAGGATCATTATCTAAACAGTTAAAGATTTTGATTTTCCCTTAAGGGAAATTAGAAAGGTTGCTCCGTTTGTTTTGGAATGCAAATGGCAGCAAATATACTACAAATTAACTATTTTATTATATGAACCTACATTATTGGCTTCTAAAAATTTTAATTGGTACACAGTAAAAATATAAGTCTTTAAAAAAGAAAAAAAAAAAAAGAACTGGTCGGAGACAAGCAGAAAGCCTGAAGTCTGGAGTTTTTCATGTTAATGAAGTTAGCAGGAACTTTTCCTTTGTAACCTGATTCCCTGTGCAAATGGCCCTCATATATTTTCTGGAGAATTTGACTTTCACAGTCTTTACAGTTCTCTTTAACCCTTACTTCCCCAGGCTCCCTCAGCACCCTTTTAATCTGCTACTCCACATTCAAAAGGCTCTGTCTACATACACAACAGGTGTATAAACAGTTCTTTGTCTGAGCCTGTGAGCTAGCTAGATAGGACTGGGTTTAATTGTTCACCTCGTTAGCATACAGCTGACAGGCTGCTGCTACTGGGGAAGTAGCGGGATGGCAAACCTCTTGCCTGCTAGGCTCTAAATTTCAATTATTATTAAAGAGCCCATTTCAGAAGAAAGAGGCCCATACCATTAAATGACTGCGTCCTGCTTTCTGAATTTTCATAAGCTGTGTATGTCCTGACTTCTGTGGAAGCACCCAACAAGAACTTGTTTTCATTCAATCTGGCCAATGGCTTTTGCATTCACAATGGAAAAAAAATGCTAAATCTAATTAGTTGATGAATAAGGTCTTGTAAATTAAGGGACAGAATAAAAACTACTCATTATGAATTCCTCTGATTTTGAATTCTAGCCTAATAGTTCTTACAATTCACTGAATAGTAATGATTTAATTAATCACTATTAACCTATAGGCTAATTAAATGATCTTTACTGCTGTCTACTGCAAGATATTTAAGTTTATTTGAAGATGGGTTTTATAATTGACACTTGGTAATATTCCATTTCTTATGGTTCTTCCATATATTGAAGACCTCTACAGTTTACAAACTTTAAAAAGTTGCCATTTGAATAACTTTTAATTTAAAAAATTTAATTTAAAACCTTTAAAATGAACAGCTATCCTAATAGAAAGGCTAAAAACTTTCCAAATCTATTTTGATGAGTGATATAAATGCTGAGGTGGTTTTGAATAAAATATTACCCTATGTGTTTGATAGCAAACTGAGTAATATTAAAAAAAAAACAGAAAAATTCCTGGATTAAATTTCCTTCAGACTTACAGTAATACACCTCTTGGGAGGAATTTTTTTTATGGGGGGGGATCCAGTCGTGGGGCCTGAACTCTGGGCCTGACAGCGCTGCCCCTCAGCTCCTCAGCTCAAGGCTAGCGCTCTACCACTTGA